CGTTCTGGCCTACCATGCGGATGAATGTAGTTCGATTCTCGGATGGAGAAAAATAAAATGAACTTTTTTTTTTCGTTTATTTTGTTTTAAAAATTATTACAAGTCATAAATTATTTTAAAATAAGTTATTTTGGACTAATAACCTATATTATTCTTTTTATTTGTAAATTTTCGTTAGTGGGTCGTAGAAAAATATACTGTACAACTCGAGTGGATCGTCCACATCGCACTCAGACGATTGAGCACTCTACCTACGGCGTCCTGCTCAAATTTCGTCTTCGTGCGGGGCCATCATATCCACTCTTGTTGCACAAACTACTATTTCTTCCACATTCAAAAGCATACTAACACTGTAATAACGTTTATTTACAACCATATATGCAATGTTGTCATTACTAACGTCATTGAAGGTTGGGAAGTGTCACATTACACACCTCTACTTCCCGCCCTCATTTCATCTATTCTAGATGAATATTTTTTGTATTTAAAAAAATAACACATTTTTTTGACAAATTTTATAATACCTATTTAATGGCAAACAATAAAAAACAACAATGAACTAAAATACAACAAACTACTTATTGATATTTATTATTCCCGAATTTAATATCCGGCTTTATGTAACATTTATTTATATTGGTGACAGTTGTTTACCCCGTAATCGCAATAACAATATATTTACTTGATTATTCTAAGAAAACCGAGCGCTTGGTAATTTGTCGTTAAATGTAATATTTTAGGTATATTCAGAACGAAACAGATTTATTAACTTTGATCGAAATATGATGGTTGTAAATAAAATAGTATACAAACCTCGGTAGGAAGTTTCATTCCTGTCTCGAGATCCTAGCTAACCTCGACGCTTCGCGTCTCGATGATATAACTAATCTCACGCCAGGAATGAAACTCTTCCCACCTCGGTGTGTAATATACTATTCCTGAACATTTTGATACGCGTCATTTTTTTAAAAAAAGTTTTCAATTAATATTAATATTGTAAGAACAATAAAAAAGTAGAGGCCCTAAAACAGAGCCTTGAAATACACCACTGTCAACGAGACGACACTTCCATGTATCATTATTAACAACTACACTTTGACATATAAGTAGAGAAAATCATTCATTTTCACTAATGTGTGGCAATTCTTTAGAAAGAAAAAAGTAATTTTTCACTGATTTTTATTGTTTTACAAACAGCGACTAGTTTCGGTCTCTATAGGTCATCATCAGACCTAAAAATGGGGGTTACAAAGTAAGGTTGCAAACAAGTTCTGTAAAAATTCTCAAAAAATTTTAAAACTTAATTGTGGGTCATAAATTCACTATCTCAAAAATAAATATTAATATTCCAGAAATTGTGTGATCTGATACCATGTGGTATTTATTTACTTTTTAAATTAAATTGAACCAAATGTAAGGAAATTACGATTAATGCAAAAATGTAAAAAATGAGTAGTTATATATACCTTTTACTACTGACATTCGGCATAATAAAATAAAACTGTTAACAGTAATACAATTTCTTTTCATTTTTCTCAGGAAACTTAATAGGAATAGGAATTCATGTTAACAAACCACAAACCAGAAACCAGGGTCAGAGATCCAGAATCAATTCGCAAAAGTAGATGTACAATTTTATTTAATTACAAATTTAATCTTCTCTATTTTAATTTATTCTGTCTTTCATATTTGTATATATCTATAGGTTTTCTCATTGTAGTTTATATTTCAAGTTATATTTTTAGTATATTTTTTACTCATAATAAATTAAGGATATGAAACGTAATATCAGATTTTCACACCTCAACGTAGGATCTATTTTCTCTGTATTTGATCAAGTTACTGACTACTTATTGAACAAAAACATAGACATATTTGGCGTTAGTGAGACTTGGTTAAACCCTCAAATTGATTCTACTATTATTTTTATTGATTCTTACCAAGTTGTTAGAGCTGATAGGGATGGGAGAGGCGGAGGTGTTGCTTTCTATATTAATTCAAGTATCAAATATAATTTAATTTTTTCGCGAATTACTCCTAACCTTGAGCAACTTTGGATTTCTACCAAGTTTCGCGGAAAAACATATATTTTTGGAGTTATATATCGCCCCCCTAATTCTTCTGTTATCAACTGCCTTGATGAATTGGAGGATAGCGTCGCCAACTTGTTACCATCTTGTGACTTTTTCATTGTCTCAGGAGATATTAATATAGATTTTATGACGCCTAGTAGAGGTTGTGATCTATGTATAAATTTTTTAAATTCCTATGGACTAACACAAATTGTTAATGAACCAACTCATATAACCCCGCACAGCAAAACTCTCATCGACATTATATTTGTGTCAGATGTCCATCAAACAACATGTGTTGAGGTATTAGATGTCAGAGGCCGTGGCTTGTCATATCATCAAGCTGTTCTTTGCAACATAGAGTCAATCACTTTAGAAAAGAAAGCTAAGTATATAACCTATCGTGACTTTTCACGATTTGATATTAATCTTTTTAATGCTGAATTAGGTTCCATAAATTGGGACATAATTTACGAATTAAATTACGTTGAACATATGATTTCCCATCTGAATAATTCCTTAATCCAGCTTTTCTCTGTACATGCTCCTTTAGTAAGAAAAAAAGTTACGAAACCGCATACCCCTTGGATTACTTATAATATAAAAGTAATGATTTCGTTAAGAGACAAAGCTTTAAAAAAATATAAAAAAAATAAGACTGCAGTAAATTGGACTAGCTATACCGACCTAAGGAATTTTACTACTGGAGCAATTCGACGAGAAAAAAAGGCTTATTTAAACTTTATTCTTAGAGAAAAGAATTCCAAGACCACCTGGAACACTCTTAGATCCTTAGAAATTCTTAGAAAAAAAGCCAGTCCTATTATACCACCTAACTTAAGTAATGTTACTGAAATTAACAAACATTTTAATTCATCTCCTACTACTCTGAAGTCACATGACCAATTAGCCTTACTTGATCGGTACTATGAAAATATATATGAAAATAAATTCGAATTTAAATCTGTCTCTTCTGATATAGTTCGAAAATCTCTAAATCGTATAAAAAGTCATGCCGTTGGTTTAGATAACATATCACTGCGCATGATACAGTTAGTAGAAAATTATTTAATCAATCATTTAACATTTATTTTTAATAAAATAATTTCTTCGTCTCATTATCCACTTTCGTGGAAACGGGCCTTTATTATTCCGCTTGCTAAATGTAATCAACCTACTAGCTTATCTGACTTGCGTCCTATTAGTATTCTACCAACCCTTTCTAAATCGTTTGAATTTATACTTAAAGATCAAATTAGCAAATATGTATATGACCAAAATATAATAACTCCAGCTCAATCTGGCTTTAGAATGCACCATAGTACGACCACTGCCCTCTTATCTATCACGGATGACCTTTTTAAAGCGACAGACCTGGGAAAAGTCACATGTTTGGTTCTTCTTGATTATAGCAAAGCATTTGATACTTTAGATCATCCAACACTTTGCAAAAAACTGAAATTTTTCGGTTTTTCTCATAAATCCGTTCGTCTAATATCAAATTTTCTTAGCAATCGTACTCATAAAGTTATTTTGGAAGCTGATGTATCCAGCAGTCTACCCGTTAGTCAAGGTGTTCCGCAGGGATCCATTCTGGGACCATTGCTGTTTTCACTATATATAGCAGATTTTCATAGTTTTGTTAAAAATTGTGTGATCCATCATTATGCAGATGATACCCAGTTATATCACTCGTTTAATAATAAGTGCTTACTTACTGCCCAAAATCTTATTAACGACGATTTAAATGCATTACTTGATATTTCTACAGCTCACAACCTCAAAATAAATTCTAAAAAATCATCCATCATGTTATTTGGCCCCAAAAAATTAAGACAATTAACAATAAACGCATTACAAATTAAATTAGGCGATGCTCTTCTTCAATTCACGAATGAAGGAAAAAACTTAGGTCTCTGGTTAGATTCTGATCTTCGTTTTAGTAAACATACCTCCACCATATCTCAAAGTTCGTTCAACGTCTTGAGACAGTTGTACCCTAACCGAGACCTGCTTTCCACACAACTCAAACTTAAACTTTGTGAATCTCTCATTTTTTCCAAACTCAGTTATTGTGATTCCATCTACGGTCCGGCCCTACTCCAATCCGATTCCGCTCGTTTACAAAAAATCCAGAATAGCTGTCTACGTTTCGCCTATGGAATTCGAAAATTTGATCATATCTCGAATAAAATGAAAGAATCAGGTTGGTTGACTTTCAATAACTATCGCCTTTTGCATTTATTAACTCAAGTTCACAAAGTTTTACTCATACAGAAACCTGATTATTTAGTTAACAAATTAAAGACATTTTCCAATATTAATGAATTTCCTACGCGGAATCGAATGACCTTGGTGGTACCGAATCATAACACGGCTCTATTTAAAAGATGTTTTTCGTATGTTGCATGTAAAGAGTACAATAAACTTACAAATGAATTTAAATCATATAACTTGCTTAATTTCAAGAAACGCCTAAAAAATTCTTTGTTCAATAAGCAATGGTCATAAAAAAATATATTATATAATGCAACGAATTTGGTTTTGAAAATCTGTTTATTTTTTATACTTTTTTTTTCTCTATTATATTATATTATTATATTTCAATGTTATTTACAGGTTAAGTTGTAAATCAGCACAAGCTGAACTTCACCTTTTCATCTACCTTATATATGTATATATTTACACTTATACTAAAACTTGATGAATAAAGACGCTTTATTATTATTATTATTATTATTATTATTATTATAAAAATATATTATACATAATTCATAAGATACTGCCATCTTTATATAAAAAACAACCCCGTTTTCTTTAAATTTCATTTTATAAAACACACATTTCATTTGCTTTGAGACAGATCGATTCCAAACAATCCACAAAACTCAACTGGTCGACTTCACCAAACCAGTTCTAAAACCCAAACCGCTATACTCGTATACAGATTTCGCTGAGCGCCAGCATGTATGAAAATGCAATAGATCCATCCGGACCATGAGGAAGCCCATCAGAATATGCGGAACCGTCGAACGACGAAGAGTCGACGTTAGAATTGGGGACCCTCTTCGAAGGGTCAACGAGTGCTCCAGGTCGGCATGTTGTGGAGATGGCGGACGATAGTGGTGGTGATAATGTTCGGGTGCGTAAGGGGTGCCGACGAAAATGAAGAAGTCGATTTTTCTACCGTGGACGTCAGGAAGTTGGCTTCGAAAGTTTACGGAACAGGTGGTTGTTTGTTGCACTAAACGCTTTTCTGCACTTATATTTAATGATATTAGTTGTATTATGACTTATTATTTTATTTCATAAATGTTAATGATACGTCATTATAAAGTAAAATATATTTGAGTTTATTTATATAATATCATCTTTAAAGGGAGCAGCTGAAAAGAAGTCTATCGAACAGCTGATTATAGTTTGAGTAAGATAAAAATATAGGACAGTCTTCTAAAGTCTCGTTGTCTATGTGTTTAAGATAAAAAATAAAATATTTGGGGTTAATGGTTAACCAACCTTTGAGATGAAACGAACATGTTACTTTTTTGAACGAGAGATTAGAGAAACTTGTATATTTATTTTATCCAATTCGAGATATTCTCAAAAACGATTTATTACCTACGGCTTGTTTATTATGCCTTGACTAAGTCGCTGATAAGATATGGCATTCTAATATATATTCAACACAGAATATTCTACAAATTTATTACATAAAGAATTAGAGATTTTCAATATCAAATAACTAAATACCCGTCAAAAGTACCAAAATGTTTTATGGGCAATTGCTGACTCTAAAAAAAAATCTTAAGCTTTCTCACACTGTTTTCACAGAGTTCTACTAAATAGGCATGTATGCCAGTTTCTCCTTTTAAAAAAATGTACACGAAAAACTTTATCTCATATATTTTTGGTTTCAAGGAACAAAAATAAAAAAACAATTCAAAATATTTGTACAGAAAAAGATTAAAACGAAATATTTAATATTTTATATTAATTTTATATTACATAATAATTTAATAAAAACCATGATTTGCCCTTCTTTAGGACCAAAAAGTGGCTTTTTTTTTTTCGTCAGTTACTTCTACGTTTACTACTTATTCTTGTTATATTAGTTTTATTTATTGGTCTTATTAAATTCCTATATTTTTATGGTAAGCTCTTAACATAGCTACTAGTCGTGTTCATAACATTCCATTCTTCTGGTTGTTTGCTAGAATCACCTTTAAGCTCGGATTGGGTCAACAAATAACACCTGATTGCGTCTTCATATAAGTTGGAATCCTGTGTTAAACCGAAAATTGGATGCTTTTCTTTGCATATGGATCTAATTAATTTATCTAGTTGATTGATTTTTTTAGCAGTAATAATCTTGTCCCTTTTACACTAAATAAAGTACTGCACTAAGAGCGTGTTCCAAATTAGACGCGTTCAAAACCTATCAAATCGTTGTTATTATCGGCCCTAGTCGGCGAACGGCCAATGAGGTGTTAAGAAACGAATAAATGTCATAAGAACCGATTTTTTATTGGTCCTAGATAACGGTAGTAAATTTCACATTATTGTGATTTGAAACATATGTCTAAAATGAACTGTCAAATGATTTATTGACGTTATAGATCATTAGAAATTTTTTTGCATTTGAAATGGACTTTTTGAAAATAACTGTTTTTAAAATGGAGATTCAATATTTAAGAAAATTGTTAATACAATATCCAAATGGGTGCTTGTAAACCTAATGGACATACGAATTTTAGAAGAAAAAAAATAAATTAGAAAATAGTACAAAACAAAAATTTGCGGGTTACTCATTAATAACAAAGAAATTTGAGTTTAAACTTGCAAATAAGGGTGATTCTAACATAAGATTTTTCGATTTTCGTGTAAGGCATGTGTATGGTTGCCAAGCCTTCCAATTTATAACAAAACCTAGATTAAATTGACAGTATCGATTAGGTACTTTTATGAATCAAATAGATATTGGAAAAATGCTTATATCACGCACGAAAAGGTACTTATTTATCGGGAAAATACCTGTTTCTTTAACACGGTGTCCGATTTCAATAATTATTTTTTTGTTCGAAAGGGGCTACTTCAGGGGTGGTCCCATATAAATTTGGTCAAAATCTAAAAATTGGGTCCATGAGAAAATCCTCAAACTCTTCATTTTTTATGTATGTTTAGCGATAATGCTTTACTATCTTGTCCGATTTATATCATTCTTTTTTTGTTAGAAAGGGGGGTACCTCAGGGGTGATCCCATATAAATTTGGTTAAGACGTTGTGATGGCATCTGCACGTTTTTGAAGTCGGTTTTTTTAAATTTTTAATTTACACTTGTTATACTTACATTTTAGGCATTAGAAAGGATACTAATTTTCAAATATACCGCCGGAAACCCCACAAAGTACCTTATTTTTGGGGGTAACATTTCCAAACACTTTAAAAAAGCACTATACTCTGTTTTTAAACTAAGAGGAGCGGTTTGAATTTAAGTTGGCAATTCTATAGCCTTCTGATTGGTCAGATTACAGTCAGTTTCACACATTACTTTTTAGCATGAACATCAGCTAATAATTGATATTGTTGACATTTCTGACATTTTATAATTTGATATCTCATCAATTACAGTTTTTTACTTTATTTCGTAAATAATAGTTCTTCAGTAAGCAATTGTATTGAAAATCTACAATTATGGATCCTTCTACACTGAGTACTATTAACGGTAGCAATTCCGGAAAAGCCTTACAAGAAAGGGAAGACACCTTATTATTTTACATGCTGATTCTGAAGGTTTTGTAGAAAATGCATTATTGGTTTTTGAACGTAAAAAGATGGGAGATTACCATTAAGAAATGAATTCGAAGTATTTTGGAAAAAAATAATTTTATTACTGATTTTTTAAAACTAAAAATTGATGAATTTCTAACCAAAATGATTAAAATGTAACTAATATTCAATTTTATCTATTAGAATAGAATAAAACTATTTACAAAATTGTTATAACATTTAAAACACCATCTACTACTTTAGGGATAATCTTAATTTGGCACAATGAGTTAACATTACTTTCACAAAAAATATTTTAAAAATACTTAAAATTAATACATAGGTATGTATGAATAGTTCACTTTAAAAAATATATGTTGACATGTAGTGTTATGAAAATGTTGGTTCCAGTTTTCAAAACAAATTCTGACTCATAGGCCTGTAAACTTTTGAATGCCATGGGTTAACATAACCATGGGTTAACACTAAATAGGCCATAATATCCACATTACTCATAGAAGAGATAGCAGTTACTGTGTGATCTACTTGTCATTCACTGATTAACTTTTACTTTTTATACCTATAACAAATATATCCTTTAAAATGTAAACAGATTTTTATATTTTATACTAACCTGGCTACATCTGGATATTCCATTAACAGTTTTCTTAAATATTTAATATCCATTTTAAAAAGATCATAGTTATTTTCAAAAAGTCGATTTCAAAAGCACGAAAAAAGTATTTCTGACATCAATCAACAACCATATTGACTTTAATTTGACAGTGATTTTCGTTTTAGACACACATTTCAGATCACAATAATGTGAAATTTGCGACCGTTGTCTGGGACCAATTAAAAAATTACCTCTGACATTTATTCGTTTCTTAATCGCTCATTGGCCGTTCACCGACTAAGCCCGATAAAGATAATTATTTCATAAATTTTGAACACGACTATATTTCGAAACTCGCTCTTAGTAACAAATCTAGTTACTTTTCCCTGTGTAAATGCGTCTTTTCAATTCGCTCCTCTTAGTTTAAAAACAGAGTATAGTTTTATTAATTTATTTCGTTGCTCTTCCTAAAAAAACATTTGAACTTTTAATTTCAAGTCACATTAGGCGACTTTGTTTAAATTGTTATAATAGACATTAACTAAATATTAATATTACATCATCTATAAAGTAATAAACAAATATTATTTTGTGTTATCCAAAAGATTTTAAACTTTCAAATAAGAGAATAAGTCTGACAAATGAATTGTCAACCAAATTCAATTACTACATCAACTAAAAAGGATAGCCGAATTCATGAAATTTTGCTGGGTCCGACATTACGTCACCACTGAAAAGTTTCAGCCATCCCATTTAAAACGTACAACCTATGTTTAAATTACGTTTTTTTATTTTTAAACTAAAAGATATTTTAGGCATTAGAAAGGATACTAATTTTCAAATATACCACCGGAAACCCCACAAAGTACCTTATTTTTGAGGTAACATTTCCAAACAATTTAAAAAAGCACTAGTTTTATTAATTTATTTTGTTGCTCTTCCTAAAAAAACATTTAAACTTTTAATTTCAAGTCACATTAGGCGACTTAACAATTTTGTAAATGATTTTATTATTTTCTAATAAATAAAATTTACTTGAATATTTTAATCATTTTGGTAAGAAATTCATCAATTTTTAGTTTTAAAAACTCAGTAATAAAATTGTTAGTTTTTCCAAAATTTCACATTTTAATTTGGCTCCTATTTTAATCCTTAAAAGGGTTAATATGGGCTTTAAAAATAAAGCAATTTTGACTTTGGCTGGTGTGTGATTTGCTTCATTTCCTTCTCTATAATTTCGTTATATTGTTTACTTCTCACAAACCCTGTATATATAGATTAATATTTCGACATTGCCCTAGTGAAAACTTGGCACCTGTACCTAAATATTGTGGGAATGAGCAGTGACCTATTTTCTTGGATCAGTACACACATCGTACATTCTTTTGTGTATTTAATGCATTAGTAATTTCGATTTCATGAAAAATTCAGGACCGAATCAGTAATAATCGCCCACCTGCAACGTCACAAATCAGATCGACTTTGCAGGTGTTGTTAGTAATAACAACAGCCTTGGCATAGAAGGATGGTTCAGTTTTGTGTTGTTTGGTCTAGTAAAAGGTCAGACAAAATTTGGCTCTTCCGGTTTAATAAAATTACTCATCAGATGGTAATTGGGCAGTTGGACCAGGAGATAACTTTGGACTGAAATTTTAATAATGTCATTTTATTGCTACATTTTTTTTCCAAAAATGATATCTGGACGTTCTTCAATTACTTGTATTACTACTTCAATAGTTATTTTATATTGATACTTGATGTACTCGTACGTTTGATATAGGTAATGAAATAATAATTAAAATCACAGATATTTGTCAATATGAAAAATTTTACAATTATGACAAAC